ACACACCCCGTCTAATTTTTGTATTTTTAGTAGAGACGGGACTTCGTCATGTTGGTCGGGCTGCTCTTGAATTCCTGGCCTCAAGTGATGCTCCCTCCTCGGCCTCCCAAAGTGCTGGGATTACAGGTGTGAGCCACCGCGCCCAGTCTAAAGGATTAATTTATGTTTGAAATCAGTTGCTGTTTTTCCTCCAGCCTCTCTGTAGTGTGCTCACATCATGCTTGGAACCCTGGTTATGTGGACTGGAGGAGAGACAACCCTAGGGAAAGTGTCAGTGCCTTGCCTTGCCTTACAACTGCCAGACACATCCTGCCTGGTATTTTCTCTGAGTGCTTCTCAGCATCCATGTCTCTATGGTTTCCCGGACGGCCCTAGCCCTCCTCTGAGCAGTTTTCTCTGCTACTTCCGGCCTCTCATTCTCTAGACCTCAGCTTGGAAGTTGCTTCCCCTCGGAAGCCTTCTCTAATTTCTTTCTCTTCCTCCGTCGAGCTTCGTAGTTAAAATTTGGGAAGGTACAGAGACGACGTGCAAGGGAACAGCACAGAACGTCCCTGCCCCGTGGAACTCAAGATTTAGCTTGGCTCTTATGGGATTCACAAGAATTAGACAAGTTATTGCCCTAATATGGTGCAAACTCTACTAAAAAGGAGAGTTTTCTTTTCTTTTTTTTTTTTTTTTTTGAGATGGAGTTTCGATCTTGTTACCCAGGCTGGAGTGCAATGGCGCGATCTCGGCTCACCTCAACCTCCGCCTCCTGGGCTCAGGCAATTCTCCTGCCTCAGCCTCCTAAGTAGCTGGGATTACAGGCATGCGCCACCACGCCCAGCTAGTTTTTTGTATTTTTAGTAGGTACGGGGTTTCACCATGTTGACCAGGATGGTCTGGATCTCTCGACCTCGTGATCCACCCGTCTCGGCCTCCCAAAGTGCTGGGATTACAGGCTTGAGCCACCGCTCCCGGCCAAAAGGAGAGTTTTCTATGAGTAGATTTTGAATGATGTTCCAGAGATTTATGATAAAAGAATAACATGAATTGTATGTCAGAAGGAAGGACAGCTGCAGCGTTGTTCCCGGTGGTTAGGGTTGAGACACAACTTTCCACGGGTCTGTTTCTGCATGGACCATTATTACATATCAACCCTTACAATGTATTGTAAGCCTCTGTACTTTGTTCCCACCTCCAACAAGCAGTTTTTTGATTCTCCATGGACATCAACTAGTGTTTAATAATTCAATGTGACTCCGACACTAACTACAGGTAATTAGTGCAGACGCCACATGTTACGGACTCAGACCCACAACACTGTCCCCTACTTCACACACGTGGCAAGTACCAGGCCTCTTGTACTTCCAACTGACTGGCTATAAATTGGGGGTTCCCACGAATCCCTCCTCATGGTCCATAATTTGCTAGACCAGTTCACAGAACTCAGGAATACACTTCACTTATATTTACCAGTTTATTATAAAGGATACAGCTCAGGAACACCCAAATGGAAGAGATTGATAGCATAAGGTATGTGGAAGGTACCTGAAGTTTCCATGCTCTCTGGGTAAGCTGCCCTCTCAGCACCTCAATTTGTTCACCAACTTGGAAGCTTTCGGAACCCTGTCATTTACAGTCTTTATGAGGGTTTCACCACCATTGACACAATCCATTAACTCAATTTTCAGTCCCTTTCCCTTCCTCAGAAGGTGGAAGCCAGGACTGAAAGTTTCAGGCTTCTAATCAAGGCTTGGCCTTTCCTGTGACCGGACACTGAAACCATCTAGGGGCCTACCAAGGATTATCTCATTAGAACAAAAGAGGTTCCTATCCCTCAATAAATTTTAAGGGATTTAGGAGCTGTGTGTTGGGACAAGGGACAAAGACCAAATATATGCATTTCTTTTTTTGTTTGTTTGTTTGAGACGGAGTTTCGCTCTTGTTACCCAGGCTGGAGTGCAATGGCGCGATCTCCGCTCACCGCAACCTCCGCCTCCTGGGTTCAAGCAATTCTCCTGCCTCAGCCTCCTGAGTAGCTGGGACTACAGGCACGTGCCACCATGCCCAGCTAATTTTTTGTATCTTTAGTAGAGACGGGGTTTCACCATGTTGACCAGGATGGTCTCGATCTCTTGACCTCGTGATCCACCCGCCTCAGCCTCCCAAAGTGCTGGGATTACAGGCTTGAGCCACCGCGCCTGGCCTATATTTCTTAATATGCCACAGAGTCACCAACTAATTTTGTTTTGGACAAGAACAATTTATAGCCAGTGAGTTGGAAGTACAGGAGGTCCTGGGACTTGCCACGGCAATTACTACAGCTTTAGACATCTTGACATCCGATAAAGTATGTCATACTCTTTTGTTATTTTCCTTTAAAATTAACTTGGCTATTCTTGGAAGTATTATATTGCATTTCAATATAAATTTCAGAATCAATTTGTCAGTTTCCACAAAAACGTACTCAGGATTTTGTTTAGGTTGCACTGAATCTGTAGATCAATTTGGGGGAAATTGACATTTTTACAACATTTAGTCTTCCAGTCTATGAACAAAATGTAGTCATCCTTTCATTTTGATCTTTTGTAATTTTTCCAAATATTGTTATAGTTTTATGTGAAGCTTTTACATATTTCTTCTTAGATTCATTACTATTTGATCATTTCTGATGCCATTATAAATGACATTTTAAAGAACATTTCATTTTTGAAGTTTTTATTGCTGGTGCATAGAAATATAATTGTTATTGAAATTGTATTCTGCTACCCTGTTGAATTTATTAATTTTAATAGCTAATCTGTAGATTTGTTTCAGTTTTCTTGATGGATAATCATTAACATTTTTTCCTTTCATATTTTTTATTTCATTTTCTTGCCTTATTGCAGTTAGTAAGACCTGAAGTACAATTTTTTTTTTTTTTTTTTTGAGACAGAGTCTTACTCTGTTGCCCATGCTGGAGTGCAGTGGCACAATCTCAGCTCACTGCAACCTCTGCTTCCCTGGGTTCAGGCAATTCTTTAGACTCAGCCTGCTGAGTAACAGCCACACACCTGGCTAATTTTTGTATTGCAATACCAGATACACGTAGTCAAACTACAATCCTTACCAAGAAGTATCTTATCATCTGTATTAAATGAAGTTGGCATTCTTCATTTCTTTTGCGAAGTAAAAATAATTTCATTATCAGTGTTTCTGGTAAAAATTTTCTGTTTGCATGTAGAATGTAATTAGATTTAAAAAAGTGAGTTTTACCTGATTTTTGTATGCAAATTTTTTTTTTTTTTTTTTTTTTTTTTTTTTTTTTTTTGAGACAGGGTTTCACCATGTTGGTCAGGCTGGTCTTGAACTCCTGACCTTAGGTGATCCACCCGCCTTGGCCTCCCAAAGTGCTGGGATTACAGGTGTGAGGCACTGCAACCAGCTTTTGTATGTAAACTGTAACTTAGACTGTCTAACTCTTGTTTGGTAACTTCAGAATTAGAACTACAGCCTAGGGTTTTAAGCAACATGTTTTATCATTCGATTACGCACGTCACCTTTGAATTCCTGCAACATTATTCCTACCAAACTTACTACTTATGGCAGAATCTGTTCCAGTTTAGCATGTCCTAAACATAGACGTCCTGTAGCTTCTACTTGTGGACTGTAATTCTATCCTGGGATAGTTGCAGAACAAGATTAACCCACTGCTCATAAAGTAGTTCTTCAAAATTCAGGACATATCTTTTTCACCGGGTAAAAAACTAAAATTTATTCAAATACGCTCTCGAAATATTCATTTTATGTGTTTAAGAATCAGTAAAAGACGGCCGGGCACGTTGGCTCAAGCCTGTAATCCCAGCACTTTGGGAGGCCGAGGCGGGTGGATCACGAGGTCAAGAGATCGAGACCATCCTGGTCAACATGGTGAAACCCCGTCTCTACTAAAAATACAAAAAAATTAGCTGGGCATGGTGGTGCATGCCTGTAATCCCAGCTACTCAGGAGGCTGAGGCAGGAGAATCACCTGAACCCAGGAGGTGGAGGTTGCAGTGAGCCGAGATCGCGTCATTGCACTCCAGCCTGGGTAACAAGAGTGAAACTCCGTCTCAAAAAAAAAAAAAAAAAAAAAAAAAATCAGTATAAGACTTCTGAAAGTCAGGTTGGTAATTTCTTACTGCAAGACTGAAAGTTAATCAGGAGTTCTAAAAGCAGATGTGAGGCTCACAGTGGTATTTTAAAACAAGTTATGTTGAAGATGGATTGGTGAAAGTGGTGTCTGAAGGCAATCTGTCTGGATCCAATACGGAGGCCATCAGAGAATGTTAGACAGAGTGTCCTGAAAAGTTTGCTAATAAATTTGGAAGATTTCATGTCATGTAAATATTTAAGAAATAAACACTTTGAAAAATTTTGGCCTATCTATAACCAAATACTTAATTTGATGGAGCAGGCTTCATGCTCATCCATATATGAACTGTTACTTAAGCAGTTTAGTCGATTTCTTATTTGTAACTTATTACAGGCACCCACCATCAGGCCTGGATAATTTTTGTATTTTTTAGTAGATACTGGGTTTCACCATGTTGGCCAGGCTGGTCTCGAACTCCTGACCTCAAGTGATCCTCCTACCTCGGCCTCCCAAAGTGCTGGGATTACAGGCAGGAGTCACCGTGCCTGGCCCTTATCTGTGGTTTCCCTTTTCACTTTGAATCTCAGCAATCCTGATGAAATACGGAAAAGTATCATTCTAGCTTTATGTTAAAAAAATTGCTAAAAATGATCAGTGTTTATAAATTAAAAACTGTTTTGTTCTGAACTGAGGTATAACTTCATGTCTGAAGGATGTGGTGCAAACATATGGCCTAGGAAAAGTGGAGCATCTGGGGATCATTTGCACAGAAGTTACTAGTTACATGATCCTGAGCAAGTTTGCTAATCTGTCTGTACCTCAAATTCCTGATCTCATAGGGATGTTGTATGGATTTAAAAAGTTTAAATGTGTAAATCCCTTAGAATACTGCCTGGAACACAGCAAGCACTAATAAGTGTTTATTATTACTATGAAGTGACTGACAAACTCTTAGAAGTAAATGTGCTCACTGAAAAAATAAATACTGAAAAGGAAGGTAAAGGACAGTGTCTTTGGAGAATCTCACAATTAAGGATCAGGAAATCAGGAATAACTAATATAGGAGACAGAAGGATCAGCCTCTAGGTAGGAGAAACAGAAAGAACACCAGCAGCATTATATTCAGGCAGTGGTCAAAATCCTGACTACTGAGGTCTGAGAAACAGTTACTGGAGAGAGGGATTTCCTACTCTCATCAAGTTCATGGGCCCTCCACACTTGATGTTTTCTTTTCTTATGTCCAGTAAGATTTGAGCTCACTCTAAAAGCTTTTCCACACTCCTCACATTCATAAGGTTTCTCCCCAGTATGAACTCGCTTATGTCCAATCAGAGCTGAGCCCTGACGGAAGGACGTGCCACACTCACTGCAGGCGTATGGCTTCTCACCAGTGTGGATTCTTTTGTGCTGCCTCAGGACTGAACTATGATGGAAGGCCATTCCACACACCTCACATTTGTGAGGCTTCTCTCCAGTGTGAATTCTTTGATGATTGGTCAAGTTTGACTTCCCACTGAAAGCTTTGCCACACACTACACATTTGTAAGGTTTCTCTCCAGTGTGGATTCTCTGATGGATGGTGAGGTAGTGTCGATCTTGGAAGGTTTTCCCACAATCCCCACATTGATAGGGTTTCTCCCCAGTGTGCCCTTGTTTGTGAGCCCTGCGCTTACAGTTATGACGAAAGGCTTTCCCACACTCCTCACACCTGTAACGCTTCTCTTCAGCGTGGATCCTCCTGTGTTTGGTAAGTTCTGCCTTGATGCTGAAGTCTTTTCCACACTGGGGGCACCCATAATGTTTCTTCCGCGTATGGATTCGTTTATGTTTGCTTAGGTCTGAGCTCCGACTGAAGGCCCTTCCACACTTGCTGCATTCATAAGGTCGTTCCCCAGTGTGGATTCTTAAGTGTTTGGTGAGGTCTGAACTCCCGCTGAAGGCCTTCCCACACTTGTCACATTCATATGGCTTCTCCCCAGTATGGATTCTGCCGTGGATGGTAAGGGAATACTTAAACTGGAAGGCCTTCCCACAGCAGTTACATTCGTAAGGCTTCTCCCCAGTGTGGATGAGCTGATGCATACAGAGATGGTTCCTGGTCTTGAAGGCCTTCCCACAGTCCCTGCACTCGTGAGGCTTCTCCCCACTGTGGGTTGTTTTATGTCGGCAAAGAGCTGATCTACTGCTGAAAGCCTTCCTACACTGGGTGCAGTTAAAAGGCTTCTCCCCCGTGTGGATTATCTGGTGCATAGAAAGCTGACTTCTGGTCTTGAATGCTTTCCCACATTCATTACACACATGGGGTTTCTCGCCAGAATGAATTTGCTCATGGAGAATGAGATCTGAGTGCCAACTGAAGTTTTTGCCACAACTGGCATATTTATGGAGTTTCTGTGCTGTAAGAACTCTGTTACATGGACTATGCATTGAGTTTAGATTCAAGCTTTTTCTAAGTACCTTCTGGTTCTTTTGTTTTTTGGAGTTCCCTTCCTCTGAGCCTTCTTTCTCTTCCCTCAGTTTCTCCCGTTTAGGTGTTTCCCAGGGATTCTCTAATTTGGCATTTTGTACACAAGCTTCTCTAACCTCAGGATCCTGGGAATCAACTTTTAGGAGACTGTTAAATTTCACCCAGCAGACTTCTCCATTTTCAAAAATCTCTTGTTGTGAACTTGCCTTCTCATTCTCAGGCCATGTCTTGTCAGTTGACACTTAAACAAGAAAATACTAATGTCAGAGGAAAGAAAATATGTGAAATGGGAGAGGTAAAAAAATTTAAGCTGTTTAAAGAGTAAATAACTTTTCCATGCTGGAAAAATTAAGGAACTGTCTGCTTTGCTCCCAAGAGAGAGTCCTGGAGAGCCATATTTCTGTGTGACTCAGCTGATCTGGCTGGGGCAGATTAGATCTGTGCAATAACTGACCCAAACCAGGCTAGATTCTCTCATCCTAGACCTTAGAATTGTGATCTGAAGGTAGGATAAGGCCAGCTCTAAGAGTAGCTCAGTCTTTAGCACTTAAATTTGAGAACCAGTGGTAGTGGGATGGTATTTGGTAAAGAGGAGGGAACGTGATACCATCTGATCTGAGAAGCAGAGGTCAATTTGCCCAGAAAGAAGGAAGCTGACCCACAAAGAAGCAGGGAATACAGCTGGAGAGAGGGACCTGATGGTTTCCAGTCTCTTCTAGAGCCTGACACATAGCTGCCCTTAGGTCCCATGACACATCTGAATAATAAATACATTCTTGTTTTTGTGCTTAAGCTAGCTTGGGTTAATTCTTATTGCTGGCAACCAAGGAGTCCACACATCTTATTAATATTATCTCTGAACTCTATCTCTTCCTCTTCATTTCCACTGCCAGTGCATTCTCACTCACTAATTGCCATTCCCTCAAACATCCTTTAGTCTGACTTCCTTGTAATCCATCCTCTATACTGCTTCCAGGTTATTCTTTCTGAACATCAAGTCTAATCATGTCACTTTTTAGCTTAAAATACTTCAATGGCACCCTTTATTTAACTAGACAGGAAGAAAGTAAATCATACGGTCAAGAGCCCTAGTTCCAGCATGAGACTGCCTGGGTTCAAATCCTAGTTCTGACACTTCATAACTCTTTTTTTTTTTTTTTGAGACAGAGTTTCGCTCTTGTTACCCAGGCTGGAGTGCAATGGCACAATCTCGGCTCACCGCAACCTCCACCTCCTGGGTTCAAGCAATTCTCCTGCCTCAGCCTCCCGAGTAGCTGGGACTACACGCGTGCACCAACATGCCCAGCTAATTTTTGTATTTTTAGTAGAGACGAGATTTCACCATGTTGACCAGGATGGTCTCAATCTCTTGACCTGGTGATCCACCTGCCTTGCCCTCCCAAAGTGCTGGGATTACAGGCTTGAGCCACTGCGCCCGGCTCACTTCATAACTCTTAATGGCTGTGTGAACGTTCACTTCTCCTTTGCCTCAGCTGGTTTATCTATAAAATGAACTCTAGACTATCTATGATGATTATATAAGTTGACTTATGTAAAGCACATGCCACACTGAGGTATTTTAATCAAAATTAGCTGTTACTGTAAGTTCAAGTTTTGTAGTTTAGATTCCTTAAGAACACTCCCCCAAAACAGAAGTCATATCATGACCTTGCCCCTTTCTATTGCTTATGAACCTCCCCAGAGCTATTCTACGTCCTTTGCGCTACTCATACTGAACAATTCGCAGTTCATATTCTTTTACTCCTCAATACTTTCTCACATGTTATTCCTTCTGTCTAGAATGCCTCTCACCTGTTTCAATTTACAAGCACTGAAGTAACTGATACACAGAAGGGTGATAAATATTCTGAGCGTTTTTTTTTTTTTGAGATGGAATCTTGCTCTGTCCCCCAAGTTGGAGTGCAGTGATTCTGGCTCACTGCAACCTCTGTCTCCAGGATATAAATGATTCTCCTGCCTCAGACCTCCCAAGTAGCTGGGATTACAGGCATGAGCCCAGCACTTTTGTATTTTTAGTAGAGATGGGGTTTCACCATGTTGGTCAGGCTGGTCTTAAACTCCTGACCTCAGATAATCTGTCCAACTCAGCCTCCCAAAGTGCTGGGATTATAGGCGTGAGCCACTGTGCCTGGCTTCTGAGCTTTTTTTGAGGGACAAATTGCAAAATCTATTAAATAGGTTGCAAATAACCAATTAAATAAGGACAAAATAATTGCCCAAATAGTTTGTCATTGTTTCAGTTTTCTTTTCTTTAAGTTTCCTAAATGGGTTTCCTTTCTGGGCTCTTTGGGCCGAACAGTCCACCACTGAGCATGTTCCATAACCATTGTCACGTGGAAGATCAGAAGGGACTGAAACTTCTCTATTACTCACCCAGGCAGGAGCAGCTGAGGGGCTCCCTGCCCTGTGGATCCTGCACACAGAGCTCCACTCCACGCTCCAGATGAGAGATTAAAGGAGGTTTAGGAAATGGAAGTCCTGGTTGAAGAGAAGAAATAAGTGTGTAGAGTAACATATAACTTAATGCCTAGCCCTTATCCTTCTGTTTGCATATGGAAACAGGAAAGAAATGTTAATTTAGGTAGAGAAAAGGGTTTTTCAGGGGTCTTGTAACGTGTAGAAGAACATGTTTAGGGACTTTTTCAGAAAAGTCACACTCAAAGGGAAAGAGAAGGTTCTGGGAAACAGTCATTTGGGTGTACTTCCCTGTTTTTTTGTTTTGTTTTGTTTTGTTTTGTTTTGTTTTTAAGGAGAATAGGAGTCTATACAGGACGACTACCAGTCTTAGGTACCTAGAAGGCAGTTCATGACTAGGAGCAGAACATAGAACATGTGATTAAAAAATGAGAGGCATGAGGAAACCAAAACCCAGGGCAAACAGAAGCTAAGCATCTCCTTTTCACCCAGGCAGAGTCTCATTCTGAATCAGAAAACAGCAACTATGTTAGCCAAAAAATTATCTTACTACGTAACAGAGGTGACTCAAAACTCTAATTTTTGGGTAAGATCCTGATGATAAAATATAAGGAGTCTGACTTTCAATATGAGACCTCACGTATATCAATAAATAAAGCAATTAAATTAAAAAAAAGAAGAAGATAGAAAGCATTAAGTCAAGTGCAGGAAACGTCCATACCAAGTGATACCAAGTTCCCATAATTTTCCAACATCACATCCTTATAGAGATGCCTTTGAGCGTAGGTCAGACACTGCCACTCCCCGTCAGTGAAGGTCACAGCTACATCCTCAAATGTCACTGACTCCTGAAATAATATGCTCCTGCTATCCTGAAGGAAACGCCAGTTTCCTCAGGAAACAGAGGCAAAAGAAAGGAATTTGCAAGGAGGTTTATAGAAGTGAAAGTCTGTTACAGTTTGCTGGACATGTACAAATGAGATGAAAGGAAGCATGGGTTTTGATAGCCAAAAATCATGAAAGAGAAAACCCACAAGTGGTTTATCATGCAAAAAAAGGTTCCTTATGAGAGACGGAGAACCTTGACTTAGGAGCTGCACAGCCAGAGAACGCCGTGAAAATGAGGCCATGTTTTGGGGGTAGTGATGTATCTTCAGGGAGAAGGAAAGGGGCCTCAGCTCACTTGGGCCTGGTTCATCAGTGTGATATCTGCTTGTGGCAGGTTTCCTTGGCTTCCATCTTTAGTGAACGCAGGATATTGAGCAGGTGATAGAGCTGAGGGAAGACAAACAAGCCAAGAGTCAATTTAGCACAGTATTAATGAAATCTCCTGCATTCATGTTCTCTTCCTCAAAGGTAGAAGCTTATGCAGTTCTAACCCAGGGCTTCAGGCTACTGCCTTACAGTATCCTTCCTCTTCATTATTTTTCTAGTCTCAGCTTCCAGTGTTGGGCAGCAGGCCCTGGCACAGTAGCCAAGACAACTCTTGGAAGTGTACTCTTCTCCTCTCTCACCTCCTCTGTTTTCCTGTGGTCTTTGTCCTGGAATAACCCTTCCCCCTCCCCAGACGGGTCTAGTAAATCAGTGACTCCCAGGTTTTGGATAACCTTTCTTCCCGTGTTTGAATACTGAAGTCATTTCCTCCAAAATACTTGGGAGTAGGAGTATGAAAAAGAGTGTGTGTGTGTGTGTGTGTGTGTGTGTGTGTGTGTGAGTGTGTGTGTGTGTGTGGTGATGTGTTGAATACAAGCATCCAGAGATAGGACCAAAGCTTATTGCTTCAGGTAACTTAATAGCTGGTCTACCTCCAGCTAGTTTGTTACATTTTTTTTCCCTTATGAGAGGAATCATTCTTTCCCTGATTTTGCACATTTTTCCTAATTCCCGAGTACTAAGCTGTCCTCTCTACACCAATATAGTATAGCACACACAGCCTTTTAAAATGCAAAAGAAACTTTATGAAGAATGTCCGAGTGTTCAAGTATAATCCATATGACTGGGTAAGAAGTGGTTTCATATTACTAATTAATAGGGCCTTAGTTTATTCTTTGCAGGCTAGCACAATCTTTCCATAGCTTCAATGTTTAAGGTGCCTATTTTTCTGGATAGTTTATCAACACATCCCCAAGTCCAAATCTGAATAACTGCTTTCTCCTATTAATCACCAGCAGGGTCAAAGTAATCTATTAATAAGATTTTAAGATCACCCTTTGGCTTTAGACCTCCAAGATTATCATTCCATTTTTACCAAAACCTGATTTTAGAACCAAGCTGATTTTTTTTCAGTGAAATTGCCCAAGTGGACTCTTGTTTCATTTCAGCTACTTGCAGCTTCTGACCAAGATGAAGGCTACATCTCAATTGTGGTGGCTCCAGTTTTTCCACTGTCTTGCCTAAAAGCTCCAAGTTCCTTTATAACTGTTTGTCTCAAAAAGTCTAAACTCACCTGGGTAGCACACAACTCAAAATAGACACATTTGTGCCATATTAATGTTATATAACAGTTCTTTTCTTTATAACATTAACACAATTAAAGCTCTCTATCGGATGTTTTCAACCATTATTTATATTATTATGAATACTTTCAAGTATATAGAAAGTCAAAAAATTATATAGTAAATATCCACATACCAACAACTTACATTCTACAATTTACGTTCTACAGGATTTGCTTTATCACATACTTTTCCATTTATCTATTCCTCTCTCTGTTCATTAACGTATTTTATTTTTTGAATCATTTCAAAGTAAATTGAAACATCACTACACTTTGCCCCTAAACACTTTAATAACATGTATATCACTAACTGGAAGTTTATATTTGTTTACCTTCTTTGTTCATGTAAAATTACATATAATGAAATGCACATGTCTTAAATGTATCCTTATAGACACTGTGACAGAAGCATGCTGCTATATGACTCTAATTTCTCTCCATCTACATTGCTCCTGGTTTTTACCATATCTCATTCACAACTGGGAAAGTCTGTCACTCATAGGGATTCATAAGCTTTATTTTTAGCTTTAGAAATGGAGAAGTCAGTTATTCCTCTTAAGTTAAAAATGAATTTAGGAAAGAGGTTACATGAAAAAACAACATAAAACTTTCTGTTAAAGCAATATACAGATATTTTGTGGGATGAGATTAACACATTTGTACTGTATTACATGATATGTGACTGTAGATTTTCTGATTCTGAAAATCTACCACAGGAGATTTCAACACTTTTGAGAAGAAGAGGACTAGGAGACTCGTGCATCTGAGCTGAGCAATAGCTACTATTTTCTGTTTCTAAATTTATAAAAAAGTTATGTTCTATATTAATTCTCATTTATACCTTGTACAGTAGACATTTCAGGATTCCTCCTATGGAGGTATCAACATTGTATCTAGAAATATATTTTATTTTTCTTGTTGCAGGTAACATATACTAAAAAGCTTACTTTGGAATGTGCCTACTCATCTGTTCAAAAGTGTATGCCTTTCTGGGACTGATTTTATGACTCCTGAATTGCTATATACCATTTCCTAGGCTGCACCTCCAACAGCAGCATTTTCTGTTTGTTTGTTTTTAGACAGTCTTACTCTGTTGCCCAGGCTGGAGTGCAGTTGCACTATCTCGGCTCGCTGCAACCTCCGCCTCTGTGTTCAAGTGGTTCTTCTGCCTCAGCCTCCTGAGTAGCTGGGGTTACAGCGCGTGCCACCATGCCTGGCTAATTTTTGCATTTTTAGTAGAGATGGGGTTTCACTATACTGGCCAGGCTGATCTTGAACTGCTGACCTCAAGTGATCCACCCACCTCAGCCACCCAAAGTGTTAGGATTACAGGTGTCAGCCATCGCACCTGGCCTACTAGCAGCTTTTTTTTTTTTTTTTTTTTTTTTTGAGACGGAGTTTCGCTCTTGCTACCCAGGCTGGAGTGCAATGGCACGATCTCAGCTCACTGCAGCCTCCGCCTCCTGGGTTCAGGCAATTCTCCTGCCTCAGCCTCCTGAGTAGCTGGGATTACAGGCACGCGCCACCATGCCCAGCTAATTTTTTGTACTTTTAGTAGAGACGGGGTTTCACCATGTTGACCATGTTGGTCTCGATCTCTTGACCTCGTGATCTACCCGCCTCTGCCTCCCAAAGTGCTGGGATTACAGGCTTGAGCCACCGCACCCGGCCACTAGCAGCTTTTATACAAATCTTAACCCCTTTTCTTCCTCACATACGTCCCCAGAGAGCACAAGGCTTCAATGAAAAAACTATTGCTCCTTCTTTTGTCACTGCTTTATGTTTCAGAGGTATCTATACATCATTTAAAAGTATCAGAGCTCCAAAAAGGTCTGCAGAAGTAAAACTGTATATACTCAAACTTTACATGTTGGCAAAATTATGCTTGGGTATGAATTAATTACTGAATTACACCACAAGTTTTGTAAGTGTAAAATATTATGTATAAGTATGTATGCTATTTACCATACATCTCAAGTTATATATATATATAGTAAATGTCTGACTGCATTGAGTTTCTTTGATAAATTGCTTTGTAGAATCTTTTTTTTTTTTTTTTTTTTTTTTTGAGACGGAGTTTCGCTCTTGTTACCCAGGCTGGAGTGCAATGGCGCATTCTCGGCTCACCGCAACCTCCGCCTCCTGGGTTCAAGCAATTCTCCTGTCTCAGCCTCCCAAGTAGCTGGGATTACAGGCATGTGCCACCACGTCCGGCTAATTTTTTTTGTATATTTATTAGAGACGAGGTTTCACCATGTTGGCCAAGATGGCCTCGATCTCTTGACCTCATGATCCACCCTCCTAGGCCTCCCAAAGTGCTGGGATTACAGGCGTGAGCCACTGCGTTCAGCCCTGTAGAATCTTTTATAAATTTTTGATTTTTTTCAAAATTTAAGATACCAGCAAAAACAGATTATTTAGTTCTGCTAGATATCGATCCAAGCCTAGTACAGAAACAAAAGAAGACTTTTTATAAATGCTCAATAATGATATCAGATTTTTAGGCTCTGATTTTCCATTCTGTGTCTTTTTCCATTTTCCATTCTGTGGTCTTACTCCATTCTCAGCTGCCATGACTCCTGCCACAATCTCCTGTGTACCTCACCTCTTTTCTGAGGGAGCTGGGTATCCTGGGAGGTCCAGAGCAGCTGGCTTGGTGGTCCTGAACTCTCATCCAACAGCACAGCCTATTGCAAGGCACAGAATGAATTCAGGGAAATTATGAAGGTGAGAAAAAGACATAGGAAGATGCAAGTAACCATATAGTCCTATCCATGGAAACTGTCTCCCAGAAATACCGAAAGAGGGGAAAAAATAATGGACTCAGTTCCTAACACCTTAAGAAAACAGAAATGGCATCCAATTACTCTCTACAACTACAAAGCTTTAATGATCACCAGGTCAAGCAGGAAAAAGAATATCTGGGAGACCTTCAACAGTATCTAGAGTCGGACCCACCACCACTTGCACTGCTTTCTTTCTTTCTTGGACTCACATTTCCTTCTTCCTTGTGATTTTTTTTTTTTTTTTTGAGACAGAGTTTCGCTCTTGTTACCCAGGTTGGAGTGCAATGGCGCGATCTCGGCTCACCGCAACCTCCGCCTCCTGGGTTCAGGCAATTCTTCTGCCTCAGCCTCCTGAGTAGCTGGGATTACAGGCACACGCCACCATGCCCAGCTAATTTTTAGTATTTTTAGTAGAGACGGGGTTTCACCATGTTGACCAGGATGGTCTCGATCTCTTGACCTCGTGATTCACCCGCCTCGGCCTCCCAAAGTGCTGGGATTACAGGCTTGAGCCACCGCGCCCGGCCTTTTCCTTGTGATTTATCACAGACCCTCCTCTTCTTACCTCCTGCATCTTTTCGCCCAGGTTTCTTTAACAGTCTTCCACCGCTGCCCCAGTATCTTCCTACAGGTCAGATCGAGTCCTCAAACAAGTTGTGAAGTGGCTCCGGATGTCAGACTCCTTTGGAGAACACATGTTTTGGTGGTGCCAGCCAAAGGGCTCTTCTTGACCCACAGGGCAGCTTCTGTTTGGCTTAATGTGTCAAGCACTGCCCTGGATTTGGGGTTCATTAGCAACACTAAACCAGCTGTGATCAAACATCTTTTTTTTTTTTTTTTTTTTTTTTTTTTTTTTTGGAGACAGAGTGTCGCTCTTGTTACCCAGGCTGGAGTGCAATGGCACGATCTCGGCTCACCGCAACCTCCGCCTCCTGGGTTCAGGCAATTCTCCTGCCTCAGCCTCCTGAGTAGCTGGGACTACAGGTACGCGCCACCATGCCCAGATAATTTTTTGTATTTTTAGTAGAGACGGGGTTTCACCACGTTGACCAGGATGGTCTCGATCTCTCGACCTCGTGATCCACCCGCCTCGGCCTCCCAAAGTGCTGGGATTACAGGCTTGAGCCACCGCGCCCGGCTCAAACATCTTATTTTTCTGCATATTTGGTGAAGGGAAAAGAGAGGACGGTTACCACATTAAAAAAAAATAAATAAATAAATAAATAAAAAAGGTAGTCACTGAGAACCTGAGGCAGGAAGACAAACCTGAAAATGCGAACATATCCAGAATAGAATCTCTACTGCTACCACCCTCGTCTGAGCCACTATCACCTGCTACCTCCCCTTCTTCCCATTACTGCAGTAGCTTTCTAACTGGTCTCCTTTCTTCAATCTTGGTCTTCCTCCAGTCCTTCTCAATAGAGCAATGAGTGGTCTGTTTACAACTTGAGTTGGATCATTGCATCTCTGCTCAAAACTCTCCAGTGGCTCAACCTTACTCATAATAAAAGCTGAAGTCCTTACAGAGGTATACAAGGACCTATTCAAAGTATACGTTACTTTTAACTTCCTCTCCTGCTCACTCTAAAGAAAAGGTGAAGCCTTAAGCGTGGCATACAAGTCTACAGCATGTGTGATTCTCAACAGCCCCGCTCCCTCAATCTTCTCCAGCCACAGCGACCTTCCTTCTTTCCTATCTTAGGGCCTTTCCATTGGCTGCTCCCTTCACCTCAAGCGGCTCTCCATGGCTAATAATCTTGCCTCCTTCAAGTGTTTTCTTATATGACATCTGGCCAAGGAGGTCCACTCTAAGTACCTTATTTAAAATTTAAAATTGCAACCTATCCCCTTCCCACAATTCTGATGTGCCTTACCTTGCTTTACATGACTCCTTCTTTTCCTCTGTTGCACTTTATCACTTTCCAAGATGATGCATAAATTACTTATTAATATATACAGTGTGGCTTGGGGTGCGGTGGCTCACGCCTGTAATCCCATTACTTTGGGTGGCCAAGGCGGGCGGATCACGACGTCGGGAGAGAGATCAGTCTGGCTAACACGGTGAAACCCAGGCTCTACTAAAAACAGGAAAGTGAGATGGGCGTGGTGGCGCTCGCCTGTAGGCCCAGCTACTCCGGAGGCCGAGGCAGGAGAATCGCGTCAACCCGGGAGGCGGAGGTTGCGGTGAGCCGAGATCGCGCCAGTGCAGTCCAGCTCGGGGGACAGAACGAGACTCCCTAAAAAACAAACGAACAAACAAACGTTTACAGCCGTTGTGTCCTCGCCGAAACGTAGGCTCGTAGGCTCCGTGAGGGCAGGAATTTTTGCCGTTTTGTTCACTGTTGTATTCTCAATGCCTAAAGCAGCACTTGCAACAGTATGTGCTGGATTAAAAACTGGCTGGCTGACTGATCATACGAACGCACGCTGCGGAGAAGAGTAAAAAGAACGGGTCAGGGGCCGCTGGGAGCAAGAGGAGGGCAGGCGAGGCAAAGACGTCGCAAAAGCTCATTTTGGGGATTGGCTTCGAGGCCGGAAACTGCAGCGGGCCCCCTTCGTATACGGCCCAAAGCCCCGCCCCTGCCTGCAACCCCTGGGCCCGGTATTTAGGTAACGCGGCGGCGGCGCCGGACTCCTCTCCGCTCAGCCGCAGATTCCGACTCACGTCTGCCCAAGCCACCGACCTTCCAGCCGAAGAGATACAAAAACGTACGGCGGATCCACTTCCTAGTCCGCCAAGGGCCATTTCCGGTGACGTTCTAGGAAAGGGGCCAACTCGCTGGTCTGCGCATTCCCTCAGACTTTTCCAGCCTCCCTCCTCGCGGCTCAGCCTTCTAGGAGTTCGCGCGCGTTGAAAATCTAGGTAGAAACGGACAGAAGTTTTGTGGCAAATATATGAAAAAGTTACTTTTAAATATTAGCTAAGAACCACCACGGAATGTCTTTTTCAAAAGTAAGTACTATTTTAAGCCTATGCAGAAGTCGAAAGAAGAGTATAATTAACCCTCATATACCTATCGTTCACGATTAACAATACATGAAATACTTGTTTCATCGATCTCCAGTTTTTCCTGCGAAACGTTTTAAAGCAAACCCCAAATATGTTACTTTCAACTTCATTATGCATTTCTTTGCAAAAGGATATTTCCTTACAGAATCACAGTATCATTATCACATTTAACAAAATAATTCCTGGTTATCATCTAATATCAACTCCATATTATATTTCCCTAAATATATACGTATGCTTCTTACATTTATTTTCTTTTTCACTGAGGATCTGAAGTCCATACTTTAATTTGGGCATGTGTCTTAATTTTTTTAAAATTCACATCTGGGCCAGGCACAGTGACTCACGCCTGTAATCCCAGCACTTTATGCCACACATCAGGAAGCATATTATGTTTTTGATGCTAAGATTGACCAATGAGTTTAATACTTGGTAGTTGAATCCCTCCGTGTAAACTTACCCGTTGGCTTTTAATCTGATACATTCAGTCACTCATCATTTTTGCCAAAATTACCCATTTCTTCAGAGATTGTAAAATTGTAATTTTTCTAATTCAATTTTTTTTTTTTTACATTTATTAGTTAGAATTCCTCTAAAAAGAGAAACTTTTCTTCATAATTTTAGCAATTCATGGCTATTTGGTTATCCTGAAATGTAGTTTGTACAGGAAAGACAGACTTTAACTTTCTTTTTCTTTCTTTTTTTTTTTTTTTTTTTTTGACACTGAGTTTCACTCTTGTTACCCAGGCTGGAGTGCAATGGCGTGATCTCGGCTCACCGCAACCTCCGCCTCCTGGGTTCAGGCAATTCTCCTGCCTCAGCCTCCTGAGTAGCTTGGATTACAGGCATATGCCACCATGCCCAGCTACTTTTTTTTGTATTTTTAGTAGAGATGGGGTTTCACCTTGTTGACCAGGATGGTCTCGATCTCTTGACCTTGTGATCCACCCGCCTCGGCCTCCCAAAGTGCTGGGATTACAGGCTTGAGCCACAGCGCCCGGCCTGATTTTTTGTATTTTTAGTAGAGACGGGGTTTCACCATGTTGACCAGGATGGTCTCTATCTCTCGACCTCATGATCCACCCGCCTCCACCTCCCAAAGTACTGGGATTACAGGCTTGAGCCACCGCGCCCGGCTTTCTTTTCAATACTAATCTACCTTAACAGTATTAATGTCCACTTCACATATTTTTGTGCTGAGCATTCATGAAAGACTGCTATACTCTTTACTGTTATAAAGATACTTCTACAGTACACCTTTAGTAATACTTTAATAATCTAGTTCCATTGAGACATTTATTTACACTATTTGTTCTTGGCTAATCACAATCGCTCATAAAATATCTCCTAAAAGATTTACTACTGGAATTTTGCCAGGGATCCATGTAAAATTTTTCTCCCTGTTAATCCCACAGTTCACCTTCTTACTTTTTGAAAATGTAGCGTATTTTTCCAAGTTGGGCATCTGTTGCACTACTTAAAAATGGCCTTCAGGGGTCCTGTGGCCAGTCCTCCTGAGTTTTAGAACGCTCTAAGCTGGGCATGAATACTTGTGCTCATTTATGGCAAATAGTTATTCTTTTACTACCTTCCTTACATAAATGTTTATTGTACCATTCTCAACTTGAATGTCATGAGATTTGATGGAGAAATGAAAGCCTGATTATGTTAAGTAATTCTCTGCCCCGTGGAGCTTACCCTCAAGTAATTCTAATTAACCTGTGCTTTCGTCTTCTTTGTTTTTCTCTTTCTACACTGAAGAGGATACATTTCATATTCAAGCTTATCTGTTCGCCCAAAATGATAAGAGTGTAAGGGTGGCCAAGCTGTGATTCAGACAGCACAGCTTTCTGGAGTTTGCAGGGCTAGACCAAAGGGAGGAGGGCTAGACCAAAGGTCCTCTGCGGATCCTAGAAGGGCGAAGCACGCGTTACCATGGAGACTGCGGAATGGAAAAGCCTTCGGGTTCTTGTCTGTGATCCGCGGATGGGGTCGTGATTCCTTCGACCTCGCAGTGCAGAAGCGGGCGGGAGGTCTTCGGACTATACTTTGGCCACACCACGGGGAAGCTGAGGCCACGGAGCAGGTCCTCGTGGAGGATGGGAGTCCGGCCGGGGAAGCCCCTCCTGCGGGAGCTCTGGACTGGGCGGGGTGTGGAGGTGGGTAGAGAGGATCCCGCCTGCAGAAGCATCTTATTTTTATCCTCTTCTCGGCTGTTTTTCTTTTTCTTTTCTTTTCTTTTTCTTTTTTTTTTTTTTTTGAGACGGAGTTTCGCTCTTGTTGCCCAGGCTGGAGTGCAACGGCTCAGTCTCGGCTCACCGCAACCTCCGCCTCCTGGGTTCAGGCAATTCTCCTGCCTCAGCCTCCCTAGTAGCTGGGAGTACAGGCACGTGCCAACATGCCCAGCTAATTTTTTGTATTTTTAGTAGAGACGGAGTTTCACCATGTTGACCAGGATGGTCTCGATCGCTTGACCTCGTGATCCACCCACCTCAGCCTGCCAAAGTGCTGGGTTTACAGGCGTGAGCCACCGCGCCCGGCCCCCTCTGCTGTTTTTCTCTCCTCCATTTGTTTCTCCTTCTTTAAGCCATCCTTTAATATTAAACATTAAAAAATATATTTGGCAAACTTTAAAAAAACTTTCATTTATTATACTTTAAGTTCTAGGGTACATTGTCAGAGCGTGCAGGATTATTAAATAGGTATACACTGGCCATGGTGGTTTGCTGCCTCCATCACTCCGTCACCTACATTAGGTATTTCTCCTAATGCTATCTTTTCCTTCTCCACCAACCCCTGACAGGTCCCGGCGTGTGATGTTCCCCTCCCTGTGTGCATGTGTTCTCATTGTTCAGTAACCACTTATGAGTTAGAGAACGTGCAGTGTTTGGCTTTCTGTTCTTGTGTCAGTTTGCTGAGAATGATGGTTTCCAGTTGCATCCATATCCCTGCAAAGGACATGAACTCATCCTTTTTTTATGGCTGCATAATATTACATGGTGTATATGTGCCACATTTTCTTTATCCAGTCTATCATTGATGGACATTTGGGTTGGTTCCAAGACTTTGCTATTGTGAACGGTGCTGTAATAAACATATGTGTCCATGTGTCTTTATAATAGAATGATTTATAGTCCTTTGGGTATATACCCAGTAATGGAATTGCTGGGTCAAATGGTATTTCTATTTCTAGATCCTTGAGGAATTGCTACATTGTCTTCCACACTGGTTGAACTGATTTATGCTCCTACCAACAGTGTAAAAGTGTTTCTATTTCTCCACATCCTCTCCAGCATCTGTTGTCTCCTGATTTTTAAATGATTGCCATTCTGACTGGTGTGAGATGGTATCTCAATGTGGTTTTGATTTGCATTTCTCTAATAACCAGTGATGATGAGCAATTCTTCCTGTGTTTGTTGGCTGCATAAATGTCTTCTTTTGAAAAGTGTCTGTTAATATCCTTTGCCCACTTTTTGATGGGGTTGTTTTTTTCTTGTAAATTTGTTTAAGTTATTTGTAGATTCTGGATATTAGCCCTTTGTCAGATGAGGAGAGTGCAAAAATTTTATCCCATTCTGTTGGTTGCCAGTTCACTCTAATGATAGTTTCTTTTGCTCCTAAGTTTAATTAGATTCCATTTGTCTATTTTGGCTATTGTTGCCATTGCTTTTGGTGTTTCAGTCATGAAGTTCTTGCCCATGCCTATGTCTTGAATGGTATTGCCTAGGTTTTCTTCTACAGTTTTTATGGTGTTAGGTCTTACGTTTAAATCTTTAATCCATCTGGACTTAATTTTTGTGTAAGGTGTAAGGAAGGGCTAGCCAGTTTTCCCAACACCATTTATTAAATAGAGAATCCTTTCCCAATTGCTTGTTTTTGTCAGGTTTGTCAAAGATCAGGTGGTTGTAGGTGTGTGGTGTTGTTTCTGAGGCCTATAGTCTGTTCCATTGGTCTATATCTCTGTTTTGGTACCAGTACCATGCTGTTTTGATTACTGTAGCCTT